TCTTTCTTAGCAGTTTGACCTGGCAAACAGAAAAGGTTCCCTGGAGCTGTCCTGCCACAGGAACTCTGGCTTTTGGTCACAGTATGTCACATGCTAGCGAAATAGCTGGACAGAACTAGACGGATTAGTTTAAAAGCAGCAGAGACTTACGCACTCAGCTCCCTTGGATCCAGGTTCAGTGGTTGCAGTAAGACCTATTCAGGGTACTGCTACAGCTTTACACCCCAGACTACAGCAAGAGAAGTGTCTGGTCCACCAGAACTTTCCTATTTTCTGCAGTCATGCACAACATTTTTTTTCTAACAGTTCATTTCACTGGTGTTTTTATTCTCTTTGGGTGCATTTTTTCTGTCCTGACATACAAAAACTTGTATTCAGAAAACATCAATTCAGGCTCCATTTAAATGCTTGTGGCCTTTTAATGGCAAGTAATGAATACAAAGTAGTAATCCTGAACCATTTTCCATAAATAACTGGCCTCTATTTGTTCACATAAAACTGATTTCTTTCTTAGACGCCTACTGCAACACAACCATTTTTCCATTCATCTTCAAGGGAAAATCAACTACCTTATTGACCAATTCTGACAAGCAAACAGATTAAACTGACTGCATGGAAAGCACACAATTGAATTTATTTTCCCCTCTGTTTGCTCTATTCAAGCAGGCCTTCACAGTATTTACATTAAAATACTCAGGTACTACCACATTTCCTTTACGCTGGTTGTATTGTCCTCACATTTCCAACAGACTGAATTACTGCATGGGATATCCAAAAGACCTTCCTTCATCTTGGCCAAATCTTGTCTTCACAGAGTCACCAAATGCTTCAGAGCTTCAGGAATCACAGAAAATAAGCTCAAGGGGCTCAGGAAGGTCACTGCCTCAGCCTCTGCCACCAGGTTAGCCCACGTTTGCCCTGCCTTGCTCCTGATGGATGCTGATGCATGTGACATGTATATAGTGCCTCAGCAGTGAAGATTCAACAGCCTCCAGAGGCAGTTCATGTGACATTCGAGATCTTTCCTTCCATGTAATCTGAATTTCCCCTGCTATGTGTAGTCCATTCTATTTTTCTTATCTCCATTGGGATGGAGAACAGCTTACTACCTTCTGCTCTGCAAGAAAGCTTTTACATGTTTAAAGGCTTATGCATTAGTCTTCTCTAAGACAAATTCCTACTCTCTTCCCTAATGTTAACAGCTTTGTGTACTAGTGAAGAGACACTACTGAGCACTCTAGAAGTGGCTTCTTGCTTCTTCTTCTCCCTGTCCCTAAAGCATCCCATGTTAAAACTCCCCGGTTAAAAGGCAGAATGGAGATGCTAAACATGCTCTAGATTCACAGATTTATTACTGAGCACTGTTATGATGATCTGTTTTAATTTTCTGCCACTGGCAAGTTTCACTGTGAATCTGCACATTGCCAAGAGCACAGCCTTAGAAGAGGAGCCTGACTGCCTCACCCTAGTGCTGGCAGTGGCCTCTTGTGCAGGCACTGGCCCTGCAGGGAGCAAGGTTCTGATGAAGCCTTCTGTGCTGTGCCAAGTGGGGCCTCTGTTCTGCTTACCCAAGATACAGGAAGAATGTGTGAAGGGTCCATCACTGGAATACAGACCATATGTGCCCAAGTAAGGAGAAACGACTTTCTGGATCAGGGATTCCAGTTTCAAGTAATCTTCAGTCACACCTTTCGACTCGTGAACACCCTGGAAAAGAGAAAACACCCAAGCTGAGCACTGCCCCCTCCAACCATAACAGGACAAGCAGAGGGGCAGCATTTTCACTGAGTCATATAGCAAAGGTGCACCATGATGTGGTCCTGGTTTGCTATTACAGCTGCTTCCCTTTACTGTAAAGCCAGGACATGTAAATCAGACCAGACAGGCTCTCCACACAGGCCCTGCAAAAATGCTCAGAAAGAGGCAGCAGATACTTCCAGGACATTTAAATCCCTGAAGGTATATCCTGTTTGGAGCAAAGGCACTCAAGGAGGATGGAGGATGTGGTCTGTGAAGAGGAATTAAAAACAGCCCTGGACTTTTTGTTATTGCAGTCTTATAGTGACTTCCTGAATGACAGCAGCTGGTACCACAGGGTGTCACTGCCATCTCAGCAATGCTAACAGAAAAAGGTGAAACTGACACTCTCAGAAATACTTCTTCCAGGATATTTTCAACAATAAATATTTACAGTGAAGAAGCTGGTTCCCTTTCCTCACCCCTTCCCTGGAACCTGCAATTATCCAGGGAAAAGTCATATCATATTTAGCACGGTAAGAGTCACCCACAGGCAAAATCTTTTGGCCCTAGCTGTTGCTCTGCACTTCTACCCACAAAAGGGCCTGTAAGGCTGCAGTGGTGAGAGAAAACCCTGCAGAGCTTGCAGATGCAGTGTGGATGCTCCTGCGTTGTCTGAGCAGAGCCCTGTACATTCATATGTAGGATTCCTCCTGCAGCATAAAGCAAATTCACATTTTAGTGTGTTGCTATGCGGCCATATGCTTGAATTTAACAGAATCTCAGATTTCATAATGTGTCCCTGAGTTATTGTAAAAAGAAGCACATTGGGATGAAAGCCTCCAGAGAGCAGTCTGCAGATGAAATGAGTAAAACTGCAACACCTCCTTCAGCATCTGAAAGGATCCTGTCGTTCAGGATGTATTCACAGCTCAGTATGACTCACCAACCAGAGTCTATGGGTGACTATCAGCCCAAAGTGTGTGTGAATGGCTGACTTCACCCCTCGGCTGCTGTGCTGCCTGAATGCTGCCTCATCACTTGATAAAAGTTTATGAATGAAAAATAAGTAAATGGCCAACAGAGCCTTCAGCATCTGAAAGGATCCTGTCGTTCAGGATGTATTCACAGCTCAGTATGACTCACCAACCAGAGTCTATGGGTGACTATCAGCCCAAAGTGTGTGTGAATGGCTGACTTCACCCCTCGGCTGCTGTGCTGCCTGAATGCTGCCTCATCACTTGATAAAAGTTTATGAATGAAAAATAAGTAAATGGCCAACAGAGAAAGAATTTGAATTGAATTCCAGCAGGTTTTAAATAATGAAGAACAATCTTTGGAGATATGCTATGTCCTGGAAAACTCTGAGAGAGCCACAAATGCAAATTTGAAGACAAGGGCATATTGCAGTGGATGTGAAAGCCTGCAAACACCAAAGGAGCAGCAGAATGAACCCCCAGCTATACAGACAATTAAACCCAGGCAACATAACATCAGAATAATTCAGAAGACTTAGTGAAGGTGCACGTATTATTTCCAAGCCATCACTGGCCTATTGAGACCTGCTCCAGGGTTTCTCCTCCTGTCTTGCTAGGATTTAGTCAAGACCTTTTCAGCCTTCAGAAGGGCTACATGCCTGCTACCTTACTGCATATTGACAATCACATCAAGGTCATAACCCACTGGCAAAGACCAGTGTGTTAAGCCATCTGCTCCATCCACCAAATACCTCCAGAACTGGTCTCCTAAACATGACATACACAAGTGGCAAAAGCCAGTGTCATTTAGCATTGCTCATGCCCAGGCATTGCAGTAAGGATTTATTTACTTTTCTATCATTTAAGTATTTTTGATGCTTGTGAAAGAGAGTAGGTAAGTATCAGCTGTGGAGAATGAAATGCAGCAAATCACCAGTTCCATGCTGCCCACAAAATGACTCCTACCACCTACAGAACTGTGAAACTACGAGAGATAAAAGTGTCCTTGCCCATTGGCACCTTAGTGCCATCTGATTTTCTATCAGTCTTCATGCCTGAAAAGTTCTTTCGGTTTTCCTCCTGGTTGTGATTCTGCTTTACACTCCTCCTTCCCTGATGAACACCTCAAAAGCCACAGCTAGAGTCTGCACTGACTGCTGTTCTGGCAGGGATACAAGGAGGATTCCAGAAGCTCTGTTGGGTTGGGGTAGGCTCCTGGCATAAGCTGAGAGGATGGAGACTTGAGGCCCAAGCTCAAGCTGCTGTGACACCTCTCCATCATGGGGCCAGAGAGCAGCTGTGCAGGGCACAGACTTGCCTTGTTCCCACCACTGCTGCCCTGCAGCTGCTGTGCCTGGAGAGCCCATCAGCTCACTGCTTGTGAGAAACACCCTCTTCTCTCAAAATCCCAACTCCCTAACCACTTGCATCAGCTTCTTCTTCAGCCTTGCCCTCAACCTTCACTCCTGCTCTCCCAAGAGCAATGCTAATCTCCACCCCCTTCTCACTTCAGCCACTTTCAGTTCCCACCTTTGCAGTGAAGAGGCCACCAAAAACCACCTTTGACAGTGTAAAACCACCCAATATTGACACAGCCTGCCGTTAGTCTTAACCCCCAGCTCTGAAAGCCATAAAACATCTGGTGTCTGCTCGAGCCATGCTGACTTCTGCTCTGCACCTTGGCACAAACACGCTGTATCCACCTGTGACATCCTTCCTGCACTGGCCATTGTTCCAGGCTTTCCTGCCAGTGCCCAGTGGAGCAGTTGCCTTAAACCTTTTACTTGCTGTGGAGCTTCTCCTGCTCCTGAGAGCAGGAGTGTAACAGACTGCAGACCATATCCTGAGCTTGTAATAGATGCTTTTCCTGCATTTCTTTCTGGTGTATTATTCAATGACAAACATCCTCTCTGCCTCTATTTAACCAAATATAAGTACATCCAAGTGTTCAGCAAGGGACTATTTCAGCTTTCCAAACCTAAACTTTCCATATGATCTGAATGACACCATCACTTATTTATGAATTACCCCAGCCCAGTAGCCCACAGAAGTGCCTGCAGGCTCAGAGCAAGCTGGGGCAACCTCCACCTGGCTGCAGCCCCTGCCAAGGGGCAGAACAGCACCACACTGCAGTGACAAGATGCCACTCACAAAGCTAAATGTTCCCTGACCCAGAGCCAGCTGGTCCTTGCTGCAGCTGTGTCAAGATACCATGGCTGGGAAGTGACCTGACCCCCAGAATCTGGGCTGTAGGCTGGAAATGGTTGGGTCATGGGATATAAGGCAACTTCTGCTCCTCTTCATGAGCAGCTAAGATCATGGGGCATGGAGCTTCAGGGGGAGGGATGAACACCTCCCAAAGCAGATGAGCTTTAGGATGCTGGGGGAAGCATGTTTTGCTTTATGTGCACCCCGAGGGTGCATTTAAGCTCTTACCTCTTCACCAGAGGTTTCTACCCCATCCACTGTGCCACATGCAAAATGAGTTGTTTGTGCGACAGCAAATTCAGTAGGAAGGCACTTCTGGTAGAAGTTTAGTATGGAGGAAAGTATGGTTATAAATGTTTCTTTTATCTGTATGTAAAGTTAGGTAGGTAGATAGCTATGTATACATATCTATATACCTATCTACAATGATATATATTTTAAATTATATGAAGCCCTTTTTAGACCTTTTCCCACATTTGTAAGTTATTGTGCTTATAAAGGCAAAATTAGCTTTAGAGTTAAGCTAGCTTGAGATAGCTATTTGTGTCACAGCAGTTTCTGAAAAAAACTGATGACAGGACTTAAAAGTCACTAAAAAAAAAATAAAAATAATAAATTCCTGTTATTTTGGCAGCTTATGGTGGTTCTTGCTTTTACTGTTTACTAGTTTGATATAGTACTATATAGCAATAAAGCAAAAGTCAAACCTAGTGAGCTGGTTGCTTAGCTTGCAGCAAGCTCTATCACAATTTGGAAGAAAAGAGAAAACTTGGAGCATTATCAGTAAAACAGAGACTCTACCCTTATCTTTATGCAATGTTTGCTCTGCAGACATGCAAAAACTTACTTTAAAAGATAACCATGACCTTTCATGAACGCAATTTCATTTTAGGAGAGTTTCTCTGAGTGTGAGATGTATCCATTAAATTCCTTTCAAAGGTCTTGCCTGACCTATTTATTTCTCAATTGAAGGCCAAAACAGCTCAGTATCAAATATCTGCAAGTACCTTAGAACTCCTGGAAGAGTGCAGCTGCTGGATCAAACCCTCATCTTGGTCTCACTGTTTTGAAATGCAACAAGAGTCACCTCATTATCTTTGGAAGGATTATAACGTAATATTATGACAAGAGCCTGCCCTACTCTCAAGGCATTGGGATTTGAACATGTGAATACATCCACCCTGAGCTCCTCTCTCAGGCCCTGGGTAAGCCCCCTGTCAGCTGCTGAGCTCCTGTGCTACGTGAGCCTCTGCATTCACCTTTACCACAGGCTGCTGCAGTTCTGGCTGGCCAGCTGCACATTGCCTCAGGTAACTCTTCACTCATCCGTGTCTGAAAACAATCATAAACAACTATTAAACACCAAACTGCTTTTAACTGACCAGCACTAACTCCGTGTTTTGCTGAGTGCTTACAATAGGTCATAAGTCCTCTGTGATTTCCAGTTCTGACTAACAGCACCTACCACTAGTAACATCTGGAAATGGTGGTATTGCTCAGTTGCTTTTCACTTCCCTCTTTAGCACAGACTATTTTAAGCCATTTACCTAATAAATTATACATTAAAAGGTATCTCCAGTGTCTAAGTGTACCTTAACAACTGGATGTATTGAAGGAACTACTTCATGCTCACCTGCAGCTTATCTTGGTGCTTGACATGGGGGCAGCTTTACCACAGGGGACACCAAGCAGCAACATCTTTGAGCCAGTTCCTGGGTTACTGACTTCTGGACTCAGGGAAGAAAGGAGTAAAAGGCAGACCTCTGGATTATTTAATGAAGTCAT